ACAAATTATGTTTTTGACAATATCTCTGGCTATCGTCGATACAAGATCATCGTCTTTCGACACACCCCAGCAAGGGGAGGTTATCACGGGGCCGTCCGCTACGCCACTGGGCAGACAGCACGTTGCCTGTTACTAACATGCAAAAAAATAAGAAATCAGGAAGGGGGCCAACACTTTTTCACACCACTGTATATAAGCATTCCTCTAGCTCAAACAGTATGATGCTAGAAAGGCCATGAGGCTAGGAATGCAGAACTGCTAGGAAATGCAAACTGATAGAATCTTAAATGCAATGACTGCCAAATGCATAAATGCAAATGTAAATAGTATTGTAGTATTTCTGGTCTTGCAAGCCAGATTCGTAACCGCATTTGAAAGTGTGAGCTCATTGGGCTGAGTGCGTGAACCACTGAACAACGGCTTGTGAAGTGACCAAAGCAAATATTTTGGGCCTCTCATCGTGTTGGGGGGTGTAAAGATGAGACGTGCAGACGTGCCGATTGTCCCAGAGGAAATCCAACGTGCTTCTGTCTGAGACATCTGTATTTAGGTTAGCCTTAGTAAATCATTTTCTTTGTGACAAAGCCGTAATCTCTCTCTCTGTGAGTGTGTGTGTGTGTGTTGCAAGGGAGATTTGAGGCTGGAATGAGAGAACAGTGGCATTGGATGTTGTTGTTGTTTCTTTTTTTCCCAGTTGTTTTTCTGGCGAAATCCAATTGTGCCTGACAAAGCTGTTCAATCTGGGATTGTTTGAATCTTAACACGAAGGAACATATGGAGACAAGCTCTGAAGCAGATAAAATCAGACGGGACAAGATTCTCGCAGTAAGCCAGTCATACGGAGCACAGCGGGGTGAGTGCACAGACAGCGAGGGTTTAAACAACCCCCCCGTTTCGGTGCAAGCACGTATGTGTGAGAGCCACTTATACCTCTTACATATGCTTAATCTGTGATACAGATATGCAGGTGTGTGATCTTTGCATGTGTGTAAGTATGTGCAAAGCCCTGTTAAAATGAACTCTAATGTGCATCTATTTTTGCTAATAGTGAATTTGGCCTCTTAGCCAGGCTCTTTAATGCCTGAGGGAGGTAACAGAGAGGATGGGCCGGTCCCGGACCCTGTGGGCCCCCAGGTTAATGCATCTCAAACAGCCAGGCTCTTAACCTGGTGACAAGTGGTTCAATGCAGCCCGTCCATACTGGGCCAGAGTGAGTCGGAATACAATATTCTTACACAAACACAGTGTTGTAGCAGATGTGCACCTCTATTCCCCCTCATCTGTGTGATTTATGCTCTTCACCCCCCCTCTTCTCCTCCTGCCAGAGACCAAACTAGGGAGGAAGAGGAAAAAGGACAGACGTGGAGATGCATGTTTACTGCGTTTTCCATTTCAGAGCAGCACAGTGAGGCTGCATTAGGGTTTGAATCTATTCAGACAGCCCATAATATCTTTTTGTGTTTGCTCTCTGTTCAGTGTCCCTCTGTGCTCTGTCCCCCTTAAAAACTGTTTCTATGGTACCCTTCGCTCCACAGTGAACAATATCAGCACCCCAGAGCCAGCAGTGCGGCATTCTCTCTCTGGGCTCCGGCCCCTCACAAAGGCCCATTTCTATGGCAACTTGCAGTTGGCATGAGGAAAAGAGTTG